ATCAGCCTGCACACCCAACAGGTCACAGAGAGACTGATCACCCTCAGCCATTTGCCTCCCAAAACTTTGAGGTGTGTGTGGAATTTGTCTGGCAGTCTTTTATAGGGGCAGGTGTCCCCAAATTACTGCGATGCTGCAGCAGCAGCAGAGATTTGGGCTGAAATGGGAGAGAGAGGGGCTGCAAGTGGATCCAGGAGCAGCAGGTAACAAAAAGCTCCTGTTTCCAGCAGAAAACTCTGAGCCCTGCCCAGCAGAGAGGGGAACTGGAATAAGTGTTCAATTCATCGTTCATTTGGGCTTTCTCACTTGTTGCAAGTGCAGCAGAGAAAAAGGGGCAGCCAGGGCACGGCTCCGGCTGGGGACACAGATACAGAGAGGAGGAAAGCTGTGGTGGATCCCAGGGAAAAGGTTTCTGAGGGATGATGGGCTGCTCCTGCCGGGCTCCGAGCGGCAGAAGGACAGGACAGACACGTCCAGCAGCAAATTCTGCGAGAAACTCGGGGATGAAAGGAAGGGGATGGCAGGAGGTTGGAGATGCTGCAGCTGCCCGACCGTGTCCCGTTCACTCTCCTCCTCTCGGGAACGCTCCCCATCATTGATAAACCCCGGCTCCAGCCCCGGAGAGCTCCCCGGTATCGGCTGCACCCGCCCCGGCTCCTGCCCGCCACGGGAGCTCGGTCCTGGCTCCATCCCAGCAGGGATGATGCTCGAGACTTTCCGCGCTTCCAAAGTGCCTTCTCCTCCCTCCTCATCCCTTTACCCTTCTCCGGGGACCCCCGGCACCCCCACCCCGCTTACCTGCGCCTTCTCGGGGTACCGGCAGGTCGCAAAGACCAAATCCGGGGAGGGGCTGGCGGCTGCGAGCCCCCGCACCAGCCCGAGCCCGATGCCGCGGCTGCAGCCGGTGATGAGCACGGAGCGGCAGCGCGGCTGGGCCATGCTGCTGCCTCGGCCCGCTCCGCTCGGTTCCGCTCCCCGGCGCTCCCGGAGCCCACGCGGTTCTCAACCTGCGCGGGGGCAGAAGCGGCCCCGCCGCCCCGGGCCCGCCCCCGGCGCGGCGCCTCCCCCCGCCCGGCTCCAGGGAAGGGGAATTGGCTCCGAGCCCTCCCGAGCCCATCCCGCCGCCGCCTGGTACCCAAAGCCCGCTCCACCAACTTCTGGCAGCGCTGCGTGTGACAGTGGGGACCGCACAGCAGCTCCTGATGCCTTTGACACTCATTTATCGGTCCCACAGAATCCCCGCAGCAGCCGGGCTGGGCAGAGGGAAAGGATTCAGCTCTTGAGCGGGGGGATGAAGCAGAGGCAGGAATGAAACCCCGTGTCTGGATTTCCTCACGTTTTAGGGGGTGTCTGGCACTGCATTTCTCTCCCTTTCCTCGCCTGGTCCTGGAAATCACTGCAGGATCCTGCCCTTAGCTCATCCTCACCCTCTCCCCAGGACCGGCCTGTGATTCCCAGATCAAGATCCCATTACTGACCTGCACACTCGTGCAGAAAGGGGTAGATGGAGGTTTAAAGGCTTTAATTACATAGTGCTCTTTTCTTTTTTAAAACTTAATTTCATCCTGCTAGAGGTCAAGGAGAGACTTTCCCCTTGTACTTCGGAAATCGAAGAAGAGAGATTTGGTAATTTGGAAAAATTCTGTGGGAAAGCCTCAACAGCTGCTGCTTCTGCCTTGTTTCCCTTTGGTTGGTTTAATTCTAAATACCTGCAACAGCTCCAAAAACGCGCAGGATTTATATGTATTAAAGTATTGCTGCCGGATAGCTCACGTTTGATGTTCCCATTGCATTCCCAGGGGAGAGGAGGATGACAAAATCCTTCCAGATGACAAAATCCATTTCTCCTAGCTCAGCCAGCGTTGGCTGTGAGCAAAGCTGAGCAGGGGCTTGTGGAACAGCCTGGATTCCTGTTCCCTAAGGCTGGGGGAAAAGCTCATCCCTGTGCACACAGCAGCTGTGGCAGGAAGCCAGCAGCAAGGCTGCCCTGGATATTGATACCTGGGTTGGTTTTTTTTTTTTTCTTTTCTTCCAAATAAAGCTCCATTCCAGCAAGTTCTGTCTCACAATCAGCAACTCTCCTCTTTCCCAGGTGCTTTTAATCCATTACCTGTGCTGGGTGCATTTCAGAACAATTTCCTTTGTGCACTACCACCATACTGGTGGGGTTGGAAATTTTTTTTTTTTAAATCCCCATCAAGCCTAAAACTGCTTAGTGACCTCTTTGTGCTCGGGGTGTTGGCACAGCTGGGATTGGCAACCTCTGGGAAATAATCCTTTGGGCTCTCACCTGGGAAAGCTTTAGTGGCCAAGCCTCTGCTGACACAAATGCAGCTCTGACACAGTGAATTTACTGCTGGCTGAGTCAGTTTGGGGAAAACAAGGAGCCTGGAGGATTATTGCCCAGGAAGGATGGGAAAAAGGTTTTATCTGAGGGAAGAGCAGGTGGGATTTATCTGAGGAATGCAGATCAGCACCTGGCCAAACCTGTAGTATCTTCCAGCAGTCAGGTTTCAGTGCTGTCCCCTCAAAGCAGAAAATCTCAGAGCAGAGGAATCGCAGGTGAACACCAGAACAGATGAGAAACCAACCTGAGAGAGGTTCTGACAACTGAGAGCCACGCTGGAGTCACCAGAGGTTGAGAAAACAAAGCCATAACTCACCTGAAGGGCTGAGAGCTGTTTGCACACACACAGGTGCACGTGGGGTTTTTTATTTTTTATTTTTTATTTATTTCTGCCAGCTCCAGCCACGGGACCCTGCCCTGCTCAGCAGCAGCACCGAGTTCCTGCAATGTCCCACACACGTTCAGCCACTCCAACATTTTCACCCCCCCAGAACTGGCACAAAGCCCAAGGGATGGGATTCTCCTGAGAATCCAGATTTCAACCCCAGCTCTTCCTCCTTGTCCAGGTGAGGAGGCCCAGAGCAAACACAGCTCAGGAAACTCAGCTCCTCAAGTCAGAGAAATGCACTTTGCACCTCAAATCTTTGTGGATTGGGGGGGGATTTTATGTTTGGTGTCCAAAATTCCTGCCTTTAAGGGAATGGAGATGGAATTCCAAGTCTTGAATCTAATACAGTTTGAAAATCTCTTCATTTTGCACCAATTTTCTTCCTTATGAGTAGGCACAAGTGGTGTAGCTCATAAGAAACTACTCTCAAGTGAATGTAATAGAAAATCAAATACTTTAATGAAATTAGGGAGCATGAGTAACAGCTCAGATATACCACTAGAACTGATACTACTGGGCTGTGGGGTCTGCTAATTGGTTTTTAAATGCTCTGTTCATCAAGCATGCAGATTGACAAACTAGGAATTCTTCAGAGTGTCAAAGATCCTGAGTAAAGAATTTTCAACCACTTCAAATGGATATATAGGAAATGTCTTCTGAGCTGGTGGCCTGCACACAGCATTGCACAGATAAAAATATACTACTCTCAATGCACAGAGCTAAATACTTTCACATTTATCAGAATTTTCTACACAAGTCTTTTTTTTTTTTTTTTTTGATAGAATTCAAGTTTTGAATTTTCTGTATATATCTTCACCTGTATTAAACAAATGCTTATTTACATTGTGGGTAAAGTGTAAAGGCTAGGAAGGCCATTTTCCCATACTGTACTGTAACACTGCAAAATATATATATATACACAGAGAACCTAATATAGGCAACAGGTCTAAAAAAAAAAAAAAAAAAATCAAAAGTCACCTCCCACCTGTACAACATCATGGAGCCAGTATGAAAAGAGGGTGTTGTTAGCACCAAAGCACTGCCAGGGGGATGAGGAGCTTCCCAGGGAAGAACTGCTGGGCACAGCATTCCAAGGATGGGCCCCAGAGCTGCTGCCTGCAGGACTGGAAGTCCCAAACTTTGGAAATCACTGAAGAGCAGGACGGGAGCACAAAGTGTGAGGGTGACAGTGACACTCAGGGCACTCCTGACATCACCTCCCACCCTGCCAGCCTTTCCTTTGGATTCATGGAGGAGCACGAACTGCAGAATGGCTCAAGGCAGGGGTGGTTCAGAGCCACATTAACCCTGCACAAGCCACGGGGAAGGAGCTCTGCTGGCAGAGGGAATTCTGAGGGAAGCAGCCCTGGGGGGAGCTCCATTCCCTCTGGGGCTCAGCAGCAGGAATTCCTCCTGGAAACAGCCCCACGGGAGGCTCACAACCAGGAATTCTCTCTGGAAGCAGCCCCAGGGAAGCAGCTCTGGGGCTCTCCAGCAGGAATTCCCCTGCAGCAGCCCAGGTCTCACAGCTCCAGCAGGCACAGCAGCAGTGCCGGCTGTGGCTGTGTGTCTGTCCGTGTGTCTGTCTGTCCGTGTGTCTGTCTGTCCGTGTGTCTGCGGTGGTGCCGGCTGTGGCTGTGTGTCTGTCTGTGTGTCTGTCAGCGGCGGTGGCGGCTGTGGCTGTGCCCGGGGTGCTCTGTCTGTGTGTCTGTCTGTGTCTGTGTGTCTGTCAGCGGCGGNTGTCTGTCAGCGGCGGTGGCGGCTGTGGCTGTGCCCGGGGTGCTCTGTCTGTGTGTCTGTCTGTGTCTGTGTGTCTGTCAGCGGCGGTGGCGGCTGTGGCTGTGCCCGGGGTGCTGTGTCTGTGTGTCTGTCTGTGTCTGTGTGTCTGTCAGCGGCGGTGGCGGCTGTGGCTGTG